CACACACACTATAACACACACACATTTTTTTACGAACATATAAAAGAGTTTTGTTGTTTTGTTGTTTGTTTGTGTTTACAAATTAAAGGTTCACACTCACATTGTTTCTCACTCCAAAATCAATTTATTTGTATTTTTATATTAAAATCCAGTAATTTTATTTTCCTGTTAAACAAACTGATAATAATATCAATAATATCACATTCACCTGTCAATCAATCAATCAATCAATCAATCAATCCGCAACTTGTAGCCACACAGAGTTCTATCGACTGTATAAAAACTTTATGCTGACTGACCTCCACCCGTCTGACAGAAGCTCAGCTTTATCAGTGATTTGGTGAAACTGGATCATATTTTATAGAGAAAATATTTTATGCCCTTAGTTAGCTTGTGCAGCTAACGCTAGCTAACGCAGCCGCGGCGTGCCACGAGCCAAAGCGGGAAAAACTGACCTCCGTCTGCATTAGGATGGTTGTGTTTTCATTACCTTAGAATGAGCTGTTTTTATCTTTGGCGGAGTCTGCCATGTTGAACCACCATGTTTCTACGGTAGCCCAGAACGGACAAACCAAACTCTGGATGTAGATTGGACTTTTCAGCCACCGTAGTGCCTCCTCTTCCTGTTTCCAGCAGCCAATCAGATGCTGGTTTGTTTCTTTGCATTCAGTTTGTTCCCTCAGGAGATAAATCTGTTTGTATGAGCTCAGAAACATTTTTCTAGGCAAGTTTTCAGAAAAATATCTTCAACCTCTCTCTGTGGTTGGAGTTTTTCTTTAGTCCTCTTCCCTCCTCCTGCTCCCTCTTCCTCCCCCTCCTCCCGCCCTGCGAGGGGGTGAATTACAGAGCGACTCTCCTCTTTTTGTTTTCTAACTGGTCGACCACATGGGGGAAGAGGCTGGGATGTGGTGACTGTAATTACACAGCAGCCCGCCAACAGGTCGGCAATGGAAACTCTCACTCATCCTTCCTCCCCCTCCTCCCCCGTCAGTGCTGTCTTTGAGGGATTTCTCTCCATTCTTCCATCCTACCACAGCAACGATCAATATTTCCTCTGATATCTTTTTATTGTAACATTAATGAGTTGGTTAATCAGATCGGCTGCGTCCAGGAACTATTTACATTATAATATTTTTATATTATTTATATATTATTTTGTATATATTTATGTAATATTTTATATATTAATTAGTTTTTAATTCATACATTTTTTATTTGTTTATTTTTTTGCACATTGTTTCCATAAACAGTTTGAATTCAGACGTTTTCTTCAGTTTAAAAAGTTTTTTCCTCTTTTACAAAATAAAAGTTTGGAGGGTAACTAGAATAAAAATCTAACAAAAAATCTTCATTTTAAAAGTTCTGGATTGACGGGATAAAGCATATTATCATTTTCATTATTGATTATTGTACTGATACTTTTTTTAATTAAATGATTAATTGATCCAAGCTGACATCTTCAAATTTGTCCAAAAATAATAATGAAAAAAAAAACCCAGAGAAGATCTGTTGTTTATTTAAACCTGTCTCACCTCCACCTGTCTGACCTTCACCTGTGTGACCCCTGCCTGTCTGACCTCCCCCTGTCTGACCTCTGCCACCTGTCTGACCTCTGTCTGTCTGACCTCTGCCACCTGTTTGACCTCTACCTGTCTGACCTCTGCAGACTGAGCCTCTGTCTGATCTGGTTTCTGCTGGTCTTTGGTTTATTATTTATGATCCGACATGAAGTGACATCATCATTCAAACAAATATTGTTTGTACTGAAGGAAACAGGAAGTTTATGTGAAGCTCTGGATGTTTGAATAACAATCATCGTCCTGTTGCTGCTGTTGGTTCAGAGGTTGTAAAGCCAGCGTTCCACCTTTAATACTTTAATGATTCAGTATCATGAAAGAAAGAAAATACATCAAATGTTTATTTCAGATGGAAGAACAGTTTCATATCAAGTTATTTATTATTATTGTTGTTGTTGTTGTTGTTTCTGAAGATTTAAGGTAGTATTTTGTTTTGTGGAAATATTGTTAATAGTGACCTCTTCATAATAAAAGACTGTAAACAATCAAACTGTTAATATTTCAGTTATTAACACTTCAGCTGTTAATGATCGTTATTAGTGTTGTAATCAATCAATAATCAATAATAATTAATTATATTAATCTCAGTCGTGTGAGGACTTTGTTGCTCTCTGTGTAGTGGGTGGGGGGCCGGGGCCGTGCCGTGGGGGTGGCGCGGTTGTGTGACCCCCCTGAAAATTTGTTGGAGCAGAAACATGTGCGGAGGTCTGCACAATGGTGCTTCGTATCGGAAGAGGTTGGGGGGAGGGACAGTGGGTGTGGGGAAACGAGGGGGGGGGTCGCGGAGACTCTGGTCTCTCTCGCTCTCTCCCCTGCTGAGTTCCAGCCCTTTGCATCCCGAAGCATCGGGCCCCACAGATAATTGATCTTAATTGATAGGAGCCGGACGAATAACACGAGACACAGCCAGGTGGACAATATGTGGCCCCCCCAGAATATCGTGGACAGCTCCTTTTAACAATCTGCTGCCCTCGCGAACTATTCTGCTTTACCAGAGGTTTATCTACACTTTGAGCTGAATTAAAAGGTAGAAAAGTGACAATAATTATTAACAACAATTTTGATTTGTTTGTTTTCATCTCATCAATAACGTAATTAATTTGGGTTAAAAAGGAGAAGAACAAAAATGCTGTTTTTAGAACCCAGTCCAAGAAAAAACATTTCAAATAAGATGGTATGTAATCCTCGCCTGCCAGCTGGTTCAAACCACTGTGGATGTAAATCTGAGTCTCTCCAGGCAAACAGGATATTTGATAATAATCCGGTACAGCTGTCCAGTCTCCCCTGTCGAGGATCAACTGAGATACACTTTTACTATATGGCCAAAAATATGTGGACACACTTTATATTAATTTCCTATGTGTGTCACATTCAGAGCAACCTGTCCACAAATACTTTTGCCACCTGTGTGTTACCTGCCCTCTTCTGTCGAGTCGTTCGCAGGCTGGAGCCCGCTGGCATGCGCCTCTTCTCCACAGACTGTCTCACCTCCACTCCTCCCATCTTCCCTCCCCTCCCTCCCCTCACCCCCTAACAGTGGTTCAAGCGTGATCTGCGCTCAGGCGAGAGGAGAGAGAAGAGAGAGAGAAGAGATTAGATAGTGATGCTGCTTTCATCTCTCATTACCTTTCAGAGCAAGCAGCAGAAAGTGACAGCAGCACCTGGACGCAGGAGCCGATCGCAGTATTACTGAAGT